CACATACAGAAAAGATAACACACAATACTTAGCAATCCATTTTTCTATTCTGTTTCATTACCACCTCAATGGAATATATATAAAAATACACACATATACACATATATATATATATGGAATGGAGTGGGGACAGGAAGAGTGAAGATACAGGAAAATGTAATATTTAAGAAACTTTTAGCTTCATAAACAAATAGACAAGTAAATACAAGAATTTGCAGAAGTTCCAAGCTGAGATCAAAACTGGAACTCGTTTTCTTTCCCCCAGACATTGTTTGACTTTAGGGCATTGTAGCCCAAAGCATTGTTTGACTTCAGGGCATTGTAGCTTTCCACTTTCTGTCTGTCCTCAAAAGAAAAAAATAATTAACTGTGTAATGGGTACAAATGCCAGTAATAAAGCCTAGAAACTCTATTTGTCCTCTTAAGCAATTGTCATCTCCCTACGTAAGTACAGCCTGGTGCTGTCAATAAATACAAACAGAGTTTTGATAAATTATAAACTGGTTATTTGGTCTTCTAAAGAGACTGGGTATTCTGGACAGCTGGAGCTGCATTTAATGAGATTCATGCACAAAACTGTTTGCACATTTGAGTGAGAGATTTCACAATGGCACTGAAAACAATTGGGTGTTGTGGGATAAGTACCTTTTACAGTATATCAAGGTCAAACCTCTTACTTGATGTACTTAACTAACCATGTAAAATATTACATCAGCAAGCCTATAAGGCACTTAGAGATATATTCATATTTGCATAATGTCCTCTGTAAGTTAGTCTGCGGCCCTTAAGGGTGTTTAGAATAACTGCATGCAAGAATATACTTAATCCAATCTCATTTTAGCTTTTGCTCTTTTAAGATTTCAAAATTAATAAATCCTCCTGATACTCCAAATTACCATGAGCTTTTATAAGCATAACTTTGTAACTTTAACCCATTTATGAACATACCCTACAGGCATATGTACTAATGAATAAGAAATAACATTAGAAGTTTAAAGATGGTCTCTTTATGAAATAATGTAAGAAAATCCTGTTAGCTGGATCAAGTACAAAAGTGTGATTTCTTAAAAATAGAAAATCCTTCACAAAATTGCTTGTAATTACAATAACCAAAGGATAAAAAGTAAGAATAGTTTAAGTATTGTGCATTATTTAACTTGGTACATGAAATGTTTTATGTTTATGTATGAAGCATGCAAATAGAAATCTGATCTAAAGTGTGTTCCATGGCTATGGGATTTCTATTTATTTATTTATTTGTTTGTTTATTTTCTATTGTGCTTGATTGCTGTCAAGAATACGGACAGATAAAGAATTTCCAATTACCTTAAATGCTTAGTGCTTCTTCAAGTGACTTAAGCTCTTCTCTTGTTTTCCTCTAAGACCTTTGGAAGAGGTGGGGAAAATCTTCCTAGTCAAAGGTTCTTCCAGCATCCCACAAGTTCTCCATAATCCACAAGCTACATACCTTCTTTGAAGAATTAAAACTATGATAAAATCTCATCACAATTAATGGTTCATTAACTGACATTTCTCCTTCTTGCCATGGGGTTGAAGCAATGACTGTGTCTGCCCACCATCAGGAGTCATTACAACGCAGTAAATGAAATACCCTGGTGACCATGACTTGATAGTAGGGGAGGAAAAGGGGACCAAGCCCCAGACACTGCTTCTGGTGGCTCATTGGGAAAAAAAGGCCTGTAAGAACCACATGGAAGTGAGAAAAAGGTTTATTTTGCCCACCACCTATTTAATATGGGCACAAAAAGCCGTGAGCATCTCTTGCTTCCCCCCACCCCTTCCCACTTAAACGTTAAATGGCCAAAGTATAGGGACCTCCCCTTTCCCAGCTATTACTTATTATGATAATCCATTTTGTTCTGTTCCCAGATCAGCCTTAATCACTATTCTCCATGCACAAAATATCTTAAAAAAGGGATTTTATCTGGTATGAGCAGTCGGTGTGTATCATCAGAGCTGTTTTAGATCAATGGAGCTATGATGCTAAGAAAAGCTGAACAGCTGGCCCTGAGACCTTAGCGTTCCCAATAAATTAACTCTGTTGACTTCCTAAAAGTGGCATTTCAGCATATTGAGAATGTATTGCTTTCAGACGGAGGACAGGTGCAAGTCTCAGATGTCAAAGGAGTCACCCTTTTATTGTAAGGAAGCTGAAGTGTATTGACAGGTCTCACAATAAAACCCAATTCATTCATCACATGTTGACTTTGGCAAGTTTTTGCCCTGCTCAGTGGAGCAAGAATAAAATAAATTTAAAGCAATGACAACTGCAATTTTGCCAGGTGGGTTTGCTATAGAGATGCTCTACTGCTCTTCCACTGGATGTCACTCTGACATTGAGCTGAATCCTAAACTTTCTGCAGACCCAACTGGCTTTGCTCAGGAAATAATGCAAGACCTGAAAGTTGAGAGAAAACCTAAGTGATTTCTTCTTAATGCAGCTTCAGATGTCCAATAACCCTTTGAGAAGTAGGATCATGATCGTGTCACAGGGATTCATGGGGGCAAAACAGCACGTAAACAATAATTCTTCAGCCTTAGAAAAACATTAGAAGTTTTAAGATGGTCTCTTTACAAAATAATGTAAGAAAATCCTATTAGCTGGATCAAGTACAGATGAACATTGAGCCATTGACTACAACTCTTTGTGTGCAGCCATCCAGCCAGTTCTTTATCCACAGAGTGGTCTACCTATTAAATTGATGTCTCTCCAATTTAGAGACAAGAATGTCATGTGGGACAGTGTCGAACGCTTTACACAAGTCCAGGTAGATGACATCAACTGCTCTACCCCTGTCCATCAGTTCTGTAGCCCCATCATAGAAGGCCACCAAATTGGTCAGGCAGGATTTCCCCTTAGTGAAGCCATGCTGCTGTCACCAAGCGCCTTGTTGTTTTCATATGCCTTAGTATGCCTTCCAGGAGAATCTGCTCCAAGATTTTGCCAGGCACAGAGGTGAGACTGACTGGTCTGTAATTCCCTGGGTCATCCATTTTCCCCTTCTTGAAAATGGGGGTTATATTTCCCTTTTTCCAGTCGTCGGGAACTTCACCTGACTGCCATGATTTTTCAAATATATGGACAGTGGCTTTGCAGCTTCATTTGCCAGCTCCTTCAGGACCCACAGATGGATTTCATCAGGACCCATGGACTTGTGCATGTTCAGATTTTTAAGATGGTCTCGAACCACTTCCTCTCCTACAGTGGGCCTGAGGTCTTCATTCTCACAGTCCCTGCATCTGCCTTCCAAGACTTGGGTGGTGCGGTCAGAGCCTTTGCTAGAGAAGACCGAGGCAAAGAAGTCATTCAGAACCTCAGCCTTCTCCAAATCCTGTGTAGCTAGTTCACCCGGGAGCTTCCTGAGGGGGCCTACGTTCTCCCTAATCTGTTTTTTATTTGCTATGTACCTGTAGAATCCCTTCCTGTTATCCTTAATATCCCTTGCCAAGTTTAATTCTAACTGGGCCTTAGCTTTCCTAACCTGGTCCCTAGCTTCCCAGACAACATCCCTGTTCTCTTCCCAGGCCGCCTGTCCTTGCTTCCACTTTTTATAAAACTCTTTTTTCATTTGAATTTTCCTCAGCAGCATCTTATCCATCCAAGGAGGTCTTCTGGCCCTCCTGCTGCACTTCCTTCTGATTGGGATGCAACACTCCTGAGCTTGTAGCAGGTGATCCTTGAAGACCAACCAAGAGTCTTGGGCCCCCCTGCCCTCTAGGGCTATATCCCATGGAACCTTACTAAGCAGGTTCCTGAAGAGGCCAAAGTCTGCTCTCTTGAAGTCCAGGGCAGTGAGCTTGCTGTACGCTCTTCTCACTGTCCTAAGGTTCTCAAATTCGACCATCTTGTGGTCGCTGCATCCAGGGCTGCCCTGCAGTGCCACATTTCCAACGAGCCCTTCCCTGTTGGTGAGCACAAGGTTAAGCATGGCACCTCTCCTTGTCAGTTCCTCTATTACTTGCAGAAGGAAGTTGTCTTCCACACAATTGAGGAACCTCCTGGATTGCTTGTGCCGCGCCGTACCATCATTCCAACAGATGTCAGGGTGGTTGAAGTCACCCATGAAAACTAGGGCCTGTGAGCGTGAGGCTTTTCTTATCTGCCTATAGAGTGCTTCATCCGCAGATTCCTCTTGATCAGGCGGTCTGTAACAGATCCCCACAGTAATGCCCCCCATTGCTGTTTTCCCTTTAACCCTGACCCACAAGCTCTCTGTTAACTGCTCACCTGTCCCCAGACAGAGTTCCATACTCTTCAGCCTATCCTAACATAAAGGGAAACTCCCCCTCTGCACCTGCCAGGCCTGTCTTTTCTAAAGAGTCTGTAACCTTCCATTCCAACACTCCAGTCATAGGAGCCATCCCACCGTGTTTCTGTGACACCTATAATATCATATCCCCGTCAGCCTCAAGATAACATGCAAGCAGAATTAAAGAAGAGTCAAGTAATTCAAAGTGAGAGGCAAGATATCAGTCTGGTAAAAAAAATAAATACACTCCACTCAGAGTCCACATACATTCCATTGATCTAGCATTTTGCTATTGGTATGTATATGTCATTCAAATAAGATGCATTAATCACTCAAGAATACTTCCTGAAAATTGTTTCTACCCACACTCTCAGATGCAGATCTTAGCAGGTGAGCTGCAACACCATGTGCAATAAGGTTTCCAAATTACTAGCAACTAGGAGCTGGTCCTGAATGCAGAACAAAAACCTAAACAGAGCCTGATGCTCTATGTGTGAAAGATAATAAACAGTAAATGGGTCTGCATACCCGGGAGACTGGGAGGATGCTGCTGTGATATTACAGAAGCAGTACCCTGGAAGATGATCAGCATCTTCTGTGACATGTCCATACATCCAGTGAGGCCTTCAAAGCTCTCATACTTGAAATATAGAAGTAGAGCTAATTTGCCCCCAAGGCCACTTGCCTGCTTCTGAACTGTCAGTGACAGGAACAAAAACAGAAATGCAATAAGATATGCCCTTCCAGGGCCCTGTTTATTAAGTGAATACAAAAATAAGATCATTTAAGTGCAGAGGCACAATAATCTGCTCCATGGTTAAAAGATAATTTTGTGTTAGCAGTAAACGGAGTTCACAGTGCCTTGTAAACAGACTTTTTTACAAGCAAGAGGCATACTGAAACATGACAGACCTTGGATTAGAAGTTACCTGTTGCAGCAATACTCCCCAGTTCTCAAATTGAGATTTCAGAGCACTTCACAAAACATTTTCAGAAGAGCCCATGTGAAACAAACGAAACACAAGCAACTTGCACTGTAAAAAGTTGAGAAAGTGCCACAGCATGTTCCAAGGATGATGGCTTTTACTCCTTGTGAGGTTTGGTTTGCAATGAGAAATAACAGCCAAAGCTATTGTGCATTCTGGAAGTTTTAAAAATGAATACTTCTTTTTAAAATGATTTTTACAGCAACCTGTGGCACAGTTGAATAAAAAATAACTTTTTTCTTAATACAGTACATGGCATTTCTCCTCAATTGTACAAGTAAATTTGGAAGCACTTTCAGTTTGTGTTACAGGCAAACAGACAGAAAAATAAGTCAGGCAGGCCCTCAGTTTCCTTTCCATCTCTCTGCCCACTGTTTTATCCCCACCCTTTCACATCTGAGAGTCCACATACATTCCATTGATCAGGTAATCCACTTGCGTGTAATCCTTCTTCTTGTAGCTCTCATAGGCCTGCATAAGGAAAAGAACTATAACAGTTACAAAAAACACCATACCAACTAAAAGCACTGCAAGAAGCAAACTTTTATCCACCAAGTACTGAGTCAGGGGCTCAGATGCAATGAGAAGATACTCATTGTCTATATCCTGAGTTTCTGCAAGGCCCGAAAATGTTGCTTTGGGTGCATCTGCTGGAACGATGGCTGTTGAAAAAATGTGAGCTGTTGACTCTATCCGATGCCCAGACACAGTTTCTGCTATATAGGCAGTAGTTAAAACTGTGGCACTTCTTGTAGAGCCCGTATGAGAAGTTGATTTACTCAAGGATGTTGTGGCTATACGTGCTTCTGAATCTGGATTCGGCAATGTAACAGGCAGTGGATTCACAGAGTGAGAACTCTCCAAGGGAGTAATCTCCATGGCATGAGTGGAAGTAGTGGCAGATGTTCGTACAGCTGGTGGGATGGGGGTGGCCAGTGTTGTGGTCAGTGTCTTCAGGCCAGCTTCAGTAGTTGTGGGGCTACTAGAGCGGGGAGTGCTGGTGGTGGTGATGGCTGGATTAAACTGCTCTGTCTGACTCATTGGAGTGACAGTGAGAAGAGCAGAAGTGGGGGACAATCCTGAGACAGAGCTACTATTTGCTGATTTTTCAGTGGTGGTCACACGCTTGGTGACATGGCTGGATGTGGAAGCAGAGGTGTTATCAGACGTGGGAAAAGAGGGAATGGATGAAATAGCTGTAGAAAGATGACTAGACACTCCATGGGCATTTGAGGCTTCAGCAGTTGTTTCATAAGCTGAAGTGAAGACAGTTGCATTTATAACATTTTTTGTTATGTCTGTGACAGTGGTGGTGGTTGCTATGGTGGTGGTAGCATTGCTTGCAATTGTTTCTCTTGCATTTGTTGTTATGGCTGTGGCAGCAGTGGTAGTATTGCTTGCAGTTGTTTCTGTTGCATTTGTCATTACATTTCCACTGTCAGCCCCAAGAAAATCCCTCAGATGAATCTTGTGAGTCTGAACAGGTAAGGACAGGTTTTCCACATTGTTTCGGTCAACTTGTGCATTCACCATCCTCCTCTTTTTCTGTGGATAGCTTTGGTGGTGAAACAGGATTCCTTCAAGAAGACAAAAACAATGAGTATCATAAGACTAAAACTCTCAAGATCAAATCTGACTTCAAACCCCAACATGCAAACCAGAACACATTGTGCAGCACATGTAGTCAACTGGAATAAATCAGTCCTAAAGTCAGCAATTTATTTTTTTTTGGGGGGGGGGGGAAGGGGAAGATGTTGTTTGTTGTTTGTATTTGCCACAGACGACTGGCATTTGCCCAACCAAGGAATTATTTCCACAAAAGGGGAGTAAGGAAGTGCAGAGTTGCAATGTAGAATCACATTATCAACAGAAGTCGCGTTACAAATGCCAGCTCCTGAGAAGCTCTCACACTTTCAAAGTTACACAGCATCAACAAAGCCTTCATGCTTAGATTCATAATTTTCATCTCTCAAAACTGAGTGGAAATTTCCACTTACACCTTCATACTTCAGAAGAATCTCCTTCACAAATAACGACCTAGATTTAGTGACATAAATCCCATCAAAGACCTTTGCTTATCAAAGGTCTGTAGTTATACTGCTAAGAAAACTTCAGCAAGCCAAAAGAACCATGGACAAACTTCTTTTTTCTAAAAGAACCCCAAACCAAACAACAAAACAACAACAACAAAAAACAACAAAAAACTCGGGTACAGCAACCTCTTGAAACATACTGTAGAAAATTGATTCCCCAGTTTCCAACAAGCTCCATTTTGTTATTGTGTCACTTAATTAAAATTGAAGACCCTGGCACTGTAAAGTCACCATCAGCCATTGCTACTAAGGTTGCTCCCATTACAGAAGCAGCCTGCTGCCTCTGACACAAAATCCTGGCAATCTCAGGGAAAGCAATGCCAAGGCATTTTTCCTTTCTCTTAAAAAACATAAATACATCTGTTATGCCTTTATTTTCCAAAGGAGGGTGCGTGGAGTGCAAACGGCTTGAATGAATTACCTGCTCAATATGGTGACAAACTGTTACTCAGTAACAGTTACACAAGTTACTCAAAGACAGATAACCTACACGTAAGTGCCAGAGTCCTCACAAGGCTAACGAAACAGTTTTTCCAGTGGAATTAAGTTCACCTACAGAATCATCCTGCAGGCATCTCCCAACCCATTTCTCTCTGCTAAAAGTCAGTCAATGTGTAAACACAGGCATTTAAAGCAAAAGGACAAGGATTCTGGATTTAGCAGGAGCCTGAAGCATGGTGTTACCTCCAAGCAGATCTTTGATGTCTCGGTCTCCAGCATTCTGGCACACACTCAGTTGGTGACACTGCAAGAGGATGCAATAATTTTGGTAGGGCACAGACCAATTACAGTGATGGTTACCTGAAACAGCAGAGAAAATAAAGTCATATAATCACAGAACGGTTTGGGTTGGAAAGGACCTTTAAGATCATCGAGTTCCAACCCCTCTGCCATGGGCAGGGACACCTCCCACTAGATCAGGTTGTCCAAAGCTCTGTCCAACCTGGCCTTGAAGACTGCCAGTTCAAGAATCTAACCAGTTGGGTCACTACACACTGTATACTGAATGCACTACTTCAGGTCTGTAATTAAAGAATTAAAAACAAAACTAAACCCCAACCACAATAGCTGGAAGGTCAGGCCTTAAGGGATCCTAACTCAGCCTTAGTGAAACTGGAAGATTAGTTCAATCAATATAGCTGCTGAAGCCTACCTACCTGCTTCTCTTTTGGTATCAACATCTCCTAACAACAGCAATTTACTCACCCAGACAATGACAAAGAGAATGCTCTACAGTTTGGACCCATCTAAATGCTAGCATTAATCCACATGTCTTAATAGGGGGGTGGTCTGAGGGGAAGTGAGCTGTAACTGAGAAGCCACTCATCACCCATGGGAGAGAGCTCTCATCTCAGTGCTTGCAGCTCCACAGAAATTTACTCTTCATTTGCCAAACCAATTACATTTCAAGAAATTAAAATCCACTCCTCTGAAATGAAAGCACATTTGGATGTGCCCTGATTCCACATCCCACCTCCTGTCCCTCACCTGACAAGCCATGCTAGTGGAGAAATGCAGGCCATCTACTACTGTAAATCATGCCATTTTCCATTTCTTGGGAAGGGGAAAACAAAAAGCCACCAGCATCTCTTGCACTGGCTACTTATCTAAGTCAGTTCAGAAATATCACGAGACAAATGTGGTCAGCATCATTAAAACACTCTGGTTTCTGCTGCCTTCAGGATCATATCCAGCTGCTTGTAACTTCCCTGTTGCTCCCCAGAACCAGAGACCTCTATTGAGCTGTACTGATCAATACTCTCCCTAATGCAACTCCAGACTGAAGCTCCAGCTGGCATGTCCACTGCAAGACACATGCCACCCAGTGGCTCCTTTTTGCTTACTTCTAATTAGGAAAAAAGACGGAAAAAAAAAAGTTAAGAACAAAAATGTGGATGGACAATAAATGTTCTTCAGAGCTATTCTGAAAGGCAGATGCCAAGGTTTTCCCTAAAACTGGTTTACTTCACGCTTAAGCCTGCTGCTACTGGAAAGAAACTGCAGATACACATAGGCAAGCAGAAGCCAGGTAAGCAGCTGTACTGTGGAATTAGTGAGCAGGAATATTTGCTCTTGCAGCCATGTCATATTTTTCTTTTATTTTTCCCAGAGTATGCAGGATAGCCCAAAAGTATGTTCTCAGAGCCAGATTGCTCAGATGGCCAGGATTTTCCCCTTCAGCTCTGGACTGATTGCCACAGAAGAAACTTGAGAGAGCTCTGAATATGGCTGAGGATACAAATGCAAGAGCATGGTCTTACCTTCCAACACAAGTTCACCATGTTCATGAAGCACCTGGGAATCCTGGATTGCCACATCTTTGCTAAGATGCTTGCCCCAGCAGTATCTGGAGACTTGAATCCATTGCATTAGACAACAAATGGAGGTTAAATCTACTACCTATGTTGTCAGCCCTAGAGAGTTTTCCTGACTTTATTAGCATGCAATTGAAGTGTCAAACTGTCTCATGATATTGATACAATCACAGAATGGTTAGGGTTCTGTTTTGTGATATGTTAGTTTGCTAACTATGTATCCTGGCTGATGCTGTGGATATTCAAAGGCAATGCTGGAATAGCTAGACCAGCAACCATTCCCTTTTCTGCAGGGCATATTTGAGATGTGAATATACTGGCGAAAGTTGTTCTTGTGACAGTTGCACTACTCCAAGTTACTGATGTGATTTGTACCCTTGCTGTCATAACATCTACAGAATAGAGCCTAACCAGCCAGGAATGTTATTTTTCCACTTCTCCAAGCAACGTAGCTATGAGACGCCTCCCCATGCAACCTTGGCCTGTAAGTTAACACTACACTACCTTAAAAAATAACAACCACTGCTCCTTTACTGACAGTTACATAGGTGTAACTATTCTGACACCTAAGCCTCAGGCCTCACATCTGTAATGAAATAAAGCACAAAAATAAATACACTTTGGGGAAGGTGGGAATGGAGAACAAGAGCAGTAATGCTGATCTTAAAACCTAAAGTTGTTTTTTGGTTTGGTTGTTGTTTTCTTTTTCTTAAAGACATTTCAGGTCCTTCTTTCTATGCACATGGCTAATACATTGATATGAAGAGCTTTCATGTTTTCCATTTCCCTTGACACCAGGTAGTGCAGCAGATGGGCCATCAAGTAACAACTAGCAATTAAACTGCTTCAGTGGGTTTAATAAAGAACATAAAATCTGGATTTAGTTCTGTGTTCATCCTGAGGATGGAAAAGGTCACCTAATTCCTGAGGGTCCACCCCTTCTGCCCAATAAAGCCTACACTCAACTGGACTTGCTCTGTACAAAACAGAGCAGGAGAGAACAAGGTGAAGGACATAAAAAACCCAGTGGTTTAAGTTAGTCACAGGATGAAGCATGCACTCAGATCATTTCCCAGCCATGACCATGGACTAAATTCCTCACATCCCTAGGACAAGGCAGCTGAGAGCAACTGTTCTACCCTTATCAAAATATCAGGAAGTTAAAATTACATGTGCAGTGTTTAGAGATTCTCAGGTGCAACAAACATGCAGTGCTACATACCCTAAGTGTCAGCAGAGTCAGTGTGAATGTGTCATCTTTCTGTGGTTTACCACCTTAAAAAGCAGAAGTTTGAGTTTTCACAGCTCTGTTGCCTGGGAGACAAACCCACTCATCTTTTACCTCCTAGATAAAACAGTTTACAAAGGTGCTTTCTTTCTACCATGAAGGGAAGTCTCATGTTTAAAATAAAGGTTTGAAACCACTGGGCTTTAGAAAAAGGCATCTTTATGATATTCCTATCAATCTGATAGTCAGACATTCATCCACCTGAATCAAGGTCTCATCTTCACTACAGCATCACCAGTTTGTAGGTGCCACAAGCTTTCACGTGTGGCTAAATAAGATCAGGTCCTTCATAAGGACGACTCTGAAAAACTCATTTAGAAGTTTAATGCATTTTAAAGACACCAGAGGCAGAAAGCAGAAGGCTCTCATTCTCCAAAACTTGTTTAACCCTTCATTGCAGGATACAACTGGTTTCTTCTGAGGTAGAAAAACCACATATACATACCAGCGAGCACAGACTACTCATCCCGGTGCAGCCATCTACAAGAGCACTGTACACTTGCAAACATCTGGCAGCACGGAATAATCATTTTCAAGTCAAGTGACCTAACACTGTTTGCAAGCTGCCAGTGCACACCAAGAACACTTGCATGCTGTTTCTTACAGAAGCTAGAAGGGCCCTGGGAAACGGTTGTTCTGGATTCAGTTTAATCAGTTATTTAGCACCACTGGACTGCACAGCGAAGCTGTTAACTGTAAATGCCTGTAAACAACTGAAATTAAGAATGACAGTTGTCAGGGGAGCAGAGGAGACCTTTAAGGAACAGAAAACACAGCTGAAATTTCAGCTAAGGGACAAGACCCTCACCTGAAGCATCCAGGCTTTGACAAGCCTGCCTGCACTCCTTTTCAGTTGTAAGCATGTTTATTCGCACTACATGGACTCCTCCCCCTTTCAGGACAGAAAACCCGTGTTCACATATACAGAAAGAGATCAGCAGGAAGAATACAACGGCAGTCCACATCTTCAGGGTTGGCCTTGCAGAGAGGATTCTTTTCCCAGGAGCAACTCTTTCTTATCTCACTTTCAGAGACACTGCAGTATTCCTATTAAAAAGAAGAAAGCAAATCAATTTATATCAAGTGAGTATTATATTAAACACACTCCTATCAGCAGGAATGGGGAAAAAAAAAATGTACAAAATCCAGGCAAGTATCATTATATACAACACACAGGCAAGGATGCAGAAGCACAAAGAGAAAACTATTCCCGAATTCACAGACTTTCTTCAAAAAGGCTACTTTGTTCTTCTTCCCTCAGGCCCCAACAGAGAACAGTTCAAGTCAAAAGCCATGTATAAATGGTCAAACTCAAACCCCACAGGTGTAGGGCAGCACAGAGATGATGCTTTTTTACTCACTCTGGGACCCATATTGTTCCCAGGCTCAGCAGAAGGGCTTGCACCAGCTAAAGCACACTGTTAGTATGGGAACTATAGTTGTGGCTCTACCCTTATACTAAGTCAGTTAAAATCAAGCATCAACCTTAGCTTATTCCTGCTCATTGCAAAAAAAATAAAAGAAACTTTGACTGAAAACAAGCAAAAGCCAGTATTTCAGGTCTTCCGAAACATTACACATACATGATCTGTTGCTGAGGAAGATTCACACCCACAATAAGCCTTCCCCACATAAAACAATGAATAGGCAATGTCTTTTCTTCATTACCAATGCACACATGAAACACTGTCCCTGTGGATGGGCCCTCACCCTTCAAGTAGCTAGCGCAGCTTCAATTGACTTCAGAGCACATCATCAGCTTCTACCTGAATTTACCCTCTTGTTTCCAAGACTTATAAAACTGTATATGAGCTTGCAAACAGTTCAGCCTGAACAAGACCAATTGTAAGTCTCTTCCTTAAGTAGTTTTAAGGCGAACCTTCCTCCTCATCACTGTAGCAAGCTTTGGTCTTTATCCTGCAGTTCTGAGGAGAAATGTCATAGCCTTCAAAGAGAAGATTGCTGAGATTCAACTCCGCATGACATCTCAGAGATGTATGTGATGTCTGTAGTTGAAAATGCAAAGACAGTTCACAATACAGAATGAACAGCATGTGTGAATGACATAAATAGCATAGTGAAAAAAATCTGTCACCAGTAACATGCGTAAGACCCTGATCTATCCATCCATGCAAGAAGTTTCACCCTGAGCTCTCAACTCCAGTCCCAATCATGTCTGTGAATTTAAGAATCTGAGTAAGAACCTTTTTTTAATCTCCAGGAAAGCCCAAGATAATGCTTATTAGCCTGGACTCCCATATTACATTTGGATGCTTCGTACCATGAAACTCCTGTTTCGAAACTTTCCTCCTTACTCTACATCCTAAAGCCCCAACCAGGGTAACACGGTTTTAGCTTCAAAACTTTCACCCTGCCTGAAAAAGGGTGAAATACAAACAGCAACCCCAAGCTTTGCAGAGGACACAACATGCAGGTCCACCTCAGACTACCAGGGAGTCAAAGATGGGGACAAAATTTTATACTAAAATGCAGTGCCTCAAATTCAGCATCCCTATTTGCCCTACAAATTCCTAAAGGAACTTAAAGCCTCCTGCCTGCCCTTTTATTTAGTCTAGTAAAAGGAGTTACTTTGGCTGTTGAAAATAGATGGAGTATTTCTACACCTGCTTCCCTGGAGAGCAGGGGAGCCTGAAAGGATGAGACTGTAAGGTACCTGGGTACTTGCACCACTGACCTTAGCTTATGCAGTCCTCTGTGGCTTTCTCCCTGGAATAAATGTGCACAGCATCATGCTCATTTGTGAGCAGCTTTCTCACTGCAGCCAAAAGTTCGCATCATCCCACCTTGCAGCTGAAAACATTTCTAAGTCTGATCTGACAATATAAGTCTTTTAAGGGAAAAGCATCTCACCAGCCCCATCTAGTCCTGCATACCAGACTGTGCCTGCTGTCCAGCCAGCACAAGCTTTGCTGGGGGCTCTCTCCCATTTCACACTGCACACACAGCTCAGACTGACTTTGCTCATTCCCTCTCATCACTTGCTCTTCCAAATGCACCTTAGAGTGACTTGAAAGAACCAGCACAAGAGAGGAGATAATCTGTGCAATACATAACCGCAGCCCCTGCAGCACAGTACACAAGAATCAGCTACACAGGAAATCAACCCCATGTTTTCAGCACCATACTGGTAATATGAATCTGTATTATTCAGCCAAGATAACTTCAACACTTCTCCCACTGTTCTGAATTACAAGGCACTTCCATAAGTTTGCCTTAGACTTCAGCACACTCTTGCTGTCACTGTTAGCATAAACCGTAGCTTAATCATAGAATAGTTAGGGTTGGAAAGAACCTTAAGATCACCAAGTTCCAACCCCCCTGCCATGGGCAAGGACACCTCACACTAAACTGTATCACCCAAGGCCTCATCCAACCTGGCCTTGAACACTGCCAGGGATGGAGCATTCACAACCTCCCTGGGCAACCTATTGCAGTGCCTCACCACCCTAACAGGAAAGAATTTCCTCCTTATATCCAATCTAAACCTCCCCTGTTTTAAGTTTTAACCCATTACCCCTTGTCCTATCACTACAGTCCCTAATGAAGAGTCCCTCCCCAGCATCCCTGTAGGCCCCCTTCAGATACTGGAAGGCTGCTATGAGGTCTCCACGCAGCCTTCTCCTCCAGGCTGAAGAGCCCCAACTTTCTCAGCCGATCTTCATATGGGAGGTGCTCCAGTCCGCTGACCATCCTCGACTGTGAGCAGGGGGGAAAGCAAGGGAAGATGTGAAATATTCTGCCCACAAGAGATTTTCTTAGAGCAGATAGATCCTTATTTATGTCAGACAGCAAAAGTTTGCTTTAAATACAAATCTTTCAACTTAAAGCAAGTGGTTTGGGTTCTTTCATGGACACTACAGGTACCCTACCAAGACAGAGCACAACTTGTCAACCTGCACTCCCACACGTTATGCAGAAATAAGTGCAATTCTTGTAAAGTTCTCAGGTCACAGGCAGAGATTCAGCAAGCAGAAAAAAAAAAAAGAAAAAAAACCCCACATCATTAGACCCACAGGAAAAAAAAAAAAAAGTACATCATTAAGGGTAAATTTTACATTTTAAAGAGTCCAGGTTATGTTTGCTGTCCCTTTTCAAGGTAAAAGGCTTAGAAGATGCAGTATTTTATAGCCTAAGAAGTGACTCTGAGAAGGAATTTGCTGTGCAAGAATGTATGCATTTGCTGTTTTAAAGAAAACGGCAATGAATAAACACAGAACACTCTCATTATTGCAATTTTTCCCTAACTTTATGAATACCTCTGTCGTTACACTTACTAACTTTCACAGAGAATAAACACCTTCCATTGCATTTTGGAAATGCAGATATAGCAGCATTATATCTATGCTGTCTGTCCCCTGGTGCACAGAGATGCTTTGTCTCCTCAATGACATTAAGACACCAGAAGTCCTTCTCATTACATGACTTCAGTCCCACTTGACTACAACAGCTCCAGAGGAAAGCAAAACACCAGTAAATGCCTCTCACCTCTTCCAAAGCACCTGGCAGCCTTTCTGGATTACACCAGCACCAGTTAGAGGTGGACACGCCAAGCTCAAGCACAGAAGGTTTGTCTCCCCTTTCTCTTTCACTAAACATGGTCTCCTCAGGAGCCAACTGGTAATTCCTCCCCCAAGCTGCTCAGTAGAAACTTACATGTTTAAAATAATTTTAAATGTTCTTTAGCCAATTATAAAAATCCCTTTACAAACTGCAGAATGAGCATGTGACAAACACAATACACAGACTGTAAGTACAACAGATAAGCAAACAGCTCATTTCCAAGTCCAGCAAGGGGACAACCAGACACAGTCATACCTTAATGCAGGCCAGGTAATGCTTGGGATGCTGTATTAAGTACCAGAAACTCCAGCTAGCAGGTTGGTTTTTTTTCTGGCTTCTTCCACTTCAGTACAATCCCACACATCCAGACCAAGAGATGCAATTACCTGTAGATCACTTTTCTCAACTTAACAACTGTCTTTTATAATTACAAGCAATAAGCTTTATTTCTGTCTTCCCATCACACTTCTAGCCAGTACTACAGGCTCCATTTGTACTCAGAGAGCCCACTGAGCACCCACTCCACACATCTATATCCCAGAAAAGCATCAGCTACGGCTTCTTCTCCAGACCATGTTTCTCCCTAGAATAAACCATCCTGTGCCTGTCAGAGACAACAAAGTGGATGAGATGAACGCTGCTGTGCCCATCAGAAGTAATTTTGATAAACCTGGACAAAATTCATTCTTTGAGCACTATCTTCTCCATCTGTAGAGCATCCCTAAAGAAATTAAAAGTCAAACCAAACCACAGGAGACAGCAACAAATAAAATCTGGGAAAGAACTACACTCTGAAAAATTCAAAGCTTACTTTTACCATCTGTGGCTATAACTCATCGGGGAACACACATGGAAAACTAGAATAACTTTGAGTCAACAACTGAATGACCAATGACTTTGGAATGTACACACATATCCAGAGGGCACTTCCTTTTTTCAGAAGCATTCTTCCTTCTTGCTGATCTCCCTGTGCTCCAGGGAAGGAATTTGCGGGGGTTGTATTATTTCAAACAGCATTGATTGAGATGATGTTGCAAGAGTAAAATGAAGCCTTTGGAATATAACCCCCTTGCTTTCATGCCCACCCAGCCAGCTTCAGCTGCTCCTGCTTAAGCAGCTGCAGGTGCAGGCAAGTGACTACATCAAGGTGAAAGGAGAGATGTAGAACTAGACAAGAAAAGCATGGAAAGAGATCACAGGTACAAAGTTAGCAAAGCAAGACATCCCATCATTTGATGACATACTCTTTTGAACTGTCATCAAAGAGCTAGCAGACACTGCCCCAAAATTCATACTTACAAGTGTGCATGAACTAGACATGAAATCGGGCCAAAGAGCTGCAAAGAAAACTTCTATCCCGAGTGTAACAAAAAAGCAGGGAAAACAAGGCTGGAATGTCTTTTGCAGGTGATGGTGCTCCCATCAACTTGAGAAGACATAAAGCCTGTTTTCAACTTGTAATTGCT